AGAGAGAGAGAGAGAGAGAGAGAGAGAGAGAGAGAGAGAGAGAGAGAACTGTTAAGAACCAGTAGAATTGACCAATCTTCTCCCATTAGTAAATTGGCCAATAAATGCTATCGTAAATCAAATGTACTTACCACTCAGAGTTTCATCTTTGGCTAGGTAATTCCGATAGAACAATACAAGTTCGATCCAGTGCCTATAAACCAGCAGGCCTCCTGAAACCCCTCCAAGTAGTATAATAATAGTGCCACACAAAATAAGCAAGAAAAGGATTGCTAAGGAGAAAAGAGAAAAAGAGAAAACATAATAGAAAATTAATGATTAATAGTAAAGTTTAAGATGAAATATGACAGTCGGAAAAAATGTGATGGATGGTAACCTGAACTTGTCCACTGGAGAAATAGATGTATTTCAAAGAGCAATAAATTTTGTTTGGTTGAAGAATACACATGTTTATATCACAATCACATGAGGTAGTTCTATTCAGGTGCATCAGCAAACTGTACTTCCATTCATATAAATATCCAAAATCCAAAACTTATAGAGGTGTCCATGAAGGCTTAGACTTAAGACCTTAAACTCTTCTATTTTAGGCAAACAGTTAGAAGATCTAAATCCACTTAGATTTAGATCCTCTTTTGTGGATTGGAATTTTTTATTTCTTTAGTACTAGATTTCAGTCAATTTATTGCAGCCTGAATTTCACTAATTACCATGCAACATCTGCGAAAAGACACAAGAAGTGCAGTGGCTTGCTTTTCTATCAGAGTTTTTGAGACAGAAAAGAAAATCACAATAAGCCTCTGTATTTCTCTAGAATCCATTAAAGTATGGCAAATGGTTGATGCCTTAGAACTCCAGTTAGTTGTTTTGCAATTTCTGATATACTGAAGATAAAACCTGAAGTAAACTAAATCTATCTATAGTTAATGCTGTGGTGACAGTTGTTCACAAGATCCTCAAGAACTCTTAACTGCCTTCAAGGAAGATTGTTTAATTTTATCCAAGATAAATATATTTAGCTGTGGAATTTTCATCTGATAAGCCAGATATAGGTAGTCCTCACACACCACATACCAATCACAACTTAGTCATTATGCAAAGCAGTCACTGAGTGAAACTGAAATACTGCTTATGATCTAATTTTGAAATTGTTTTGCTTCACATACCTGTGAAGGTTGTAAAGGTGAGGATTGATTGCAAAGTTACTTTTCCTCACTATCTTAATTGTGAATGATTGCTAAAAAAAAGACAAATGAGGACTACCTGTATTTCTTCGTAATGCATTGCAGAAGAGAGAAAGAAAGAAAGAAAGAAAGAAAGAAAGAAAGAAAGAAAGAAAGAAAGAAAGAAAGAAAGAAAGAAAGAAAGAAAGAAAGAGGGAAGGTGGGAGGGAGGAAGAGAGGAAGGAAGGAAACCTGTTGTCTTCTTTTCATTCACAATCTAACTTCACAGAGACCTGGCAGCCCTTTTTATAGACTCTGCATTTGAATATATGGATTCATTAGAAAATATTGTGTTGGTGAAGGACAGCAGCTATCACAGTATGGCATGAGAAACTGGAACTGTTTTTATAATAGGAAATTGAGACTAAGGCTCATGAAATTCATGCAGATGTTTACCCCATAAAATAATAGGTCAGGAAACCAAAGAAAAATGTTAATGAGGTCAAGTAGAGTAGTGATATTATCTTAATGTTTTGACAGTTTTACCTTTTTCTGTTTGCCTCTTAAGTTTGATCACTCCAGTAGCATTCCCAATAGAATTTTGGGCCAAGCAGATGAAGTGGCTGTTTAGATCTTCTTCAGTTACTTTTATCAGTTTGAAGGTAAGAGAAAAGGTTTCTCCATCCAGTCCCTGTGGATGAACTCTAAAAAGAATAATGTTCTCATCAATCATCAGTCATGCTCCCATCCACGTGCAGACATTTGCAGCTTTTCATGATACCCAAGAAAAAATATTTTAAATATGTATAGAGCATTCTTTCTATGTCAGAATAAAAAATTTAAAATAAAAATAAAAAAAAGAAATAAAAAAGAATAAAAAATTGTGGCAGTCGCATCTACCAGTCACATTGAAACTCTTGGTTTTTGTTTTTTTAACAAGAAAGAACTCTACCCTGTTTCTCCAACAATATGGCCTCCCCCAATAGGAAGTCCCAGCATGTTTTATAGGCATGAAATGAAATTAAGCCCCTCCCCCCAAATTAAGGCCTATATTAAAACATGCGAAATGGGCGGGAATGGTGGGGGGGCTTGCTGTTAGGAAGTACTTTTGTTGCACACCCGGATATGGTGCTGCCTGCGTTGACCCCAATACGAAGTGCCCCACCAACGCCGAGGTCAACATCCAAGCCATCGCCGCCCGCCCGCCCAAAGATGAAAGGTGGGGGAATTAAGTCACGCCCCGAAAAGACGGCCTAGCCATTTTTTCGGGGCTCAAAAAAAAATAAGACCCGGCCTTATTATATGAGAAACACGGTATTTATGTTTGGTCAACACGGTTTTCCAGAAGCCACTTCATGAATCTACCACTCAAATACTAATATATTTCTTCTATAACCCATCATTCCAGTAAGAATCTTAATATGCGAAGCACTGACCCATTTTATATAAATCCCCCCAATTCCTATAGCTAATTCATATGTTACAGAATATATGCAACTGATTAAAGCTAATGAAAAATTAAGCCCCAAACAAGCTTGCTAAACTAAATGACTAACCTTAGAAAAAGTTATGGACCTAAAATCAACAAACCACATTAGGATTTAGCAAGATATGAACTGAGGGATAATGCACATGATTGTTCTGCATTGCCCAGAGTTGCTTTTTGAGAGATGGCTAGCTATATAAATTTCATAGATGAGAGAGAGAGACAGAGACAGAGAGAGAGACAGAGACAGAGACAGAGAGAGAGAAAGAGAGAAAGAGAAACATAATAGGCCACAATCCTATGCTTCTGACCCTGTAATTTGTAAATTTTAATTTCATAATGTACCTACTAAAACATGCTGACTTCTGCATGTACATATACCTTTCTGCTTGCTATATTTATTTGCAAGTATAAAAAATGAACAAGCAAGAAACCCAAAGTCCTTTTTAACTGCAAAAATAAAAGAAGAATTAAGGGTCCGCAGAGTAGGGCAAGTTAAAGAAAATTAAGATGGCAACAGAGAATGTACTGGATTTTTTTTTTTAATTGTAATTTCATCTGCAGTTTCATAGTGGTAAATGTATAAGAAGACATATACAGTATTTTATGTCTGAGATGCAGAACAATTTCCATACTGATGACCACATTTTGTCTTTGAATAGCATGTCAGAAATCATGCCTCCCAAAACCTGTGATGGTTTTTGATGATTAAAATCCTTTTAAAAAATTAATAATTAATATTTGGGATTTAAAAACTGGATTTCATCTAACTGAGATTAAAAGTAACTTTGATTACATTTAATCTAATTACTCAGATAATAATATTATTATTACTCATAATAATATAATATTAAAAAGTACATTTCGATGACAACTTTGGGAAATGCATCTAAGACCTCCAAGGAGCACCTGGACTCTTAGAATTTCAGATAGATAATCACTGGTCTACAAATTTTGGGAAATTCTCTCTCCTCTCCTCTCCCTTTCCCTCCCCTCCCCTCCCCTCCCCCCCCCTCTCTCTTCTTTTGTTTCTTTCAATTCAGACACTTTCTTTCCCTACCTCTCTTGCTGTATCAGTTGCTTGCTTTTACTGGTTTCTCGGTACCACTCCAGTGAGGAGGAAACATTCATTTCAAAACCAAATTGTGCTTTGCATTCAAGATCAATCAGTTGACCTTAAAAAACAAAGATGAAGGTGGGGAAAAACAATATGCATATTTTCCATGGATCTGAAAATATTTAGAGTACTTTGTAAATGGTTATGAGATTCTTTATATACGACTTGAAAATCCACAGATTATTAATATTAAGTAGCGTATACAAAGGGTCTTCAAAAATAACACGTGTAACTATGGTCTATTTTACACAAAAACAAATCTTGTTACATCGTAAAGACTAGTATATTTACTATTTTCATCAGATTTCATCACACACTATTTCCAATTTAACTTTCATGCATTTGGTGGAAAGGAGGTGATATTGAAGCACATAGGATAATAATTATACTAGGTGTGTGTGTGTGTGTGTGTGTGTGTGTGTGTGTGTGTGTGTGTAAGACTTGATTCCTAGCAACTGCTTGGACACTTGAAGTACTCTTGGCAAGGTTTTTCAGAAGGATTTGCCATTTCTTGCTTTTTATGGCTGTGAGAGTGTGAACGGCTTCATACCTAAAATGGGATTAGAATTTACAAAATTCCAGTTTGTAGCCTGATGCCTTAATACACCAAATTATATATCTCCTAATAGGTTTTAACAGTGACATATTTGAAAAATGTTGCATTTGATATGATAGAATAGAATAAAATAGAATAGAATAACAGAGTTGGAAGGAACCTTGGAGATCTTCTAGTCCAACCCCCTTCCTAGGGAGGAAACCCTATACCACTTCAGATAAATGGTTATCCAACATCTTTTTAAAAACTTCCAGTGTTGGAGCATTCACAACTTCTGGAGGCAAGTTGTTCCAATGATTAATTGCTCTGTCAGGAAATGTCTCCTTAGCTTTAAGTTGCTTCTCTCCTTGATTAGTTTCCACCCATTGCTTCTTGTCCTGCCCTCAGGTGCTTTGGAGAATGATAAATGTGTGTCTTCTAATGTAATATTATGGATACATATTAAATAGAACAAATTGCTATAGAATAATAATCTATACATTCCTGTTATGGTGTGTGGGAATGAGTTTAGGAGAAAGGACAAAGAGCTGCAGATGGCAATGGTCAGATAAGAGGCAGTCCACAGAAGTAATGGGACATGGCAAACTTCTCAGAAGGGATCCTTTTGAGGGACCCTTCTAGTTTCATGGACTATAAAGATGAAAGGTACTTTTGGATTTCCAAAATTATGTTACGTTTCAATAAAGATAGAGTTAGTACTCCAGGTTCTTGCCTGGACTACCTTGAAGGGTGAACAATTCCACAAACCAGAAAGTCAAACATCTGTCATTTTTTAAGACAAAAATATGTTGTACATAGATAGTGGGAAGAAGGGTGCCAAATGGGACCTTTGAATGAGGAATTTATCAATTAAAATGGCTGCAGAAAAGACACTAACCTACATTTTAACTAGTCTAAATCTTAAAAAAAAAGTTTTCCCCAGAAAGATCATAATCAGAGGTGGTATTCAACAGGTTCTGACCAGTTCTGGAGAACCGGTAGCGGAAATTTTGAGTAATTCAGAGAACCGGCAAATCCCACCTCTGACTGGAGATTTTACAGTATCCTTCCCCTGCCACGCCCACCAAGCTACGCCCACAGAACCAGTAATATAAAAAAATTAATCCCACCACTGTTTAAAACATAATGTCTAGCCCCTCAAAATTCTGATAATATACTCTTGAATCCATACACTGCAATAGTTCTACCAAATTCATATCATTAAGCTACTGTTATTAACTGGTGAATGTACATATGGAAACCAGCTGGGAGTTAGAATTGTAACTTTTCTCACTTCCGGTTTGTCGGCTTCGGCAGCGGCAGGGATTCGCGATCCTGCGCGATCCCTGTTGCGCTAGCCGTCTTGGTGCCTCCGATCCGGACGGGTTTGGAGGCTAAGGTTGCCCCGTAGAGGCAGCCGAAGATAGGAGGGATCTGGACAGGGGGTTGGGGTTTTCGCAGACCCCTTCCCCACCCGGCTTAACCCTCTTTTCTCAAGGCGGTGGAGCGGCGGTCAGCAATGGCTGCCACAAAGAAGCTGACAGCTGGATAAGATTGTGCTGGAGGAAGAAGGAGAAAGTTCTGAAGCGAAAGTTTTTTGGCTGAACTGGGACTATAAGATACAAGTAATATCCTGAAAATCCTGATTTTTTGAAAGATACTTTGTTTCCAGAAGAGATTTACAAGCGGCGAGTGAAAGTGCTTAAAGAGAAAGTTTACTCTCCTTCCACATGGATTTAACAAATGGATATTGAAAATCCTGCTATTTTACAGAAGGTAAAAATTTAAAGCTTTCTGTTATAAGTGGGAAGGGAGAGGACAAAAGGAAAATTTTTATTAAGATTTTGTTGGAGGAGATGCCTGGAAGATTTTGAGATTGGAAGTTAATTGCAATAAGACTTTAAAATACAGATTGGGTTTTTTTTCCCCTTGCCAATTGATATTACCCCAGGAAGAAAAAGTGTGAAGAACTTTGTGCTCTGTTTGGATTGTTTGATGACTTTGGGATTTTGGGGAATTGTTTCAAGCTTTGAATTATCTTGGTTGTTTTAAGAAGAAGAAGAAGAGAAAAAAGAAGAAGAAAAGGTTTATAATGGCTTTATCTGTTGATGAACTGAGAGAGGAATATGGTAAAATAAAAAAAGAAGGTAAAGACGGTGTGAGAGAAATTTTTCGCTTTTTAGAAATGGCGCTTGCCACCTATCAACAAACACAGCAGCAATTAATGGAGGAAGCGGAAGAGGAGGAAGAAGAAGAAGAAGAAGAAGAAGAAGAAGAAGAAGAAGAAGAAGAAGAAGAAGAAGAAGAAGAAGAAGAAGAAGAAGAAGAAGAAGAAGAAGAAGAAGAAGGAGAAGAAGCCATCTTTAACGAGTTTACAAAGTTGATTAAAAAGGACATAAGATTTAAAAAAATATCCAAGAAAGAGAAAAATAAGATGCAAAATCAATACAATGTTAGAAAGCAAAAGAAAAGAGAAATAGAACAGAGAGGGGAAGCTAAGGGGGGTAAAAAGACCAGATGGGATAAGATAGGAAGGAAGAAGGGGGGGAAAAGCCACAAAGGTATGAAACAAGATGTGGAAAAGAAATCTTTTTTTAGGGATAATGGGTAATGCATAACTTTGTTCCAAAATGTTTCTGCAAGGTACATGATAGTATTGTAGTATTTGTATTAGAAATAGAAAATTAGAATTTTATAAGACTTAAGTAAAGATTAAAACATTAAAGGTTTAATAATGATAGATTTTAAGATTTAATAAAATATTAAAAGGAATGTTTAAAATATTTAGTTTAAGTATAGAGTTTAATTGACTATTGTGTGGATGTTTGTATGAATTTATTATTATGGTATTTGTTTTTGAAATAGATAATTGGAATGCTATGAGATTTAATGTTTAATTATATATTTAATTACTTTATGGATTTACTATTTTAGTAAGTAGAATGTACTAAGCAGAATTAGATAAGGAACTAGGTGTTACCTTAAATGTAAATTTAGGGGAGCGATGGAAAGGCATCATACTTCGATTAGTGATTTCAGGAGAAATCTTTTTTTTTTCTAATATGAATGAGATAAATGGATAATTGGAAAAGAATGGACAAAAGATACAAATATAATGATTTGGAAAGCGGGGAGAAGTTATAATGAAGATATAGAAGGGTAATAAGATAGGTAATGGCATATAAGTTGAACATGAATTTAATTGAAGTCCATACAAAGAGAGGTAATCCGGGGCCAAGCTACTTTTTAAAAAGAAGTTTTATGTTTTTGTGTTTTGTGTGTGTATCTTTGATTGAGATTTAATAAAACCTTGGGAGAAAGCGAGAAGAATATTTGTAAACAAGGCAGAGGGAAATATGAATATGATGAGTATAAAATGGATAAATATAGAAGAAATGTAATTGAATAAGACCAAAGAGAAATAATAAGAAATCTGCTAAAAAATATTTAAGTGGAAATGGGATATATTAGAATTATATTGTATAAAACAATGTTTTATATGCCTTGTAAAAATTTATAATGGAAAGAGGTTTAATGTCTTTAATGTCTAATGATGCTTTGTTTGTCTTCAAAATTAATAAAATTTGTTTAAAAAAAAAAGAATTGTAACTTTTCTCCAACTTTTCAGAATAGAATCTTGCTGTTTTGCTAAAACAATAGGCAATCTGTGATTTATATCATAAAATAATTAATCCAAGAGTACCTACAGCTAGTCCATTTTCACTAAAATTAAGCTCTAGCTTAGAGTGGAATGCAGTCAATGTAAGATACTTATTGTCTCATAGGTTGCAAAATAAATGTGAAAATTTAATTATCTTACCAATTTCTACTTCAAGGGTCATCCCATCACTCGGATTCAAAACCTTTGGAGGATGGATAGTGTCTTTTGCTAAAACATGAAAAACAGTGTGTTAGAAGTTAAAAATAATAATTAGGAAATAAAAGAAAATATATGTAGCTCGGGTTTTAGATTTTGGTAGTGGTTTGCTCTCCAAACTTGTTTCAATTTAATTTCTGAACATTTCATTATCAGACTAGGTCATATCATCAGCAGGATTTTCTTGGCCTATTCCTCTTTAGCTTGTATATGCCTTGTGTGCCGGTGTGGTCAGCTTGTTGTGTGATTGGTTGTTCATTTGAAACCATCAAAGTTGCAACAAACCTTCTCAATTTGATTGGAAAGGAACAAAAATTATTGGCCATGCCAACATCCGCCATACACGTGAATTTATTGAAGCCTGGTATTCTACCATAGGAACAATTAACAAACATATTGATCTAATCCAGCATAGGACTACATAAGAAACCAGACCATTTGAATGACCAATCAACAAGAGTACCAATCAGCTGCTCTGAATTTAAATATAGCTTCAAACAAACAACCAGTCACATGACCAACTGACACACTGGCACACAATGTTATGTTGCCCTACTTTTGACGTCTCAACCAAGTAGCAGAAGAGTTATTTCCATAGGCCTGATAGATAACAGATTTTTGAAATCAAGCAGAGAGCAAAGAAAAACTATTTGCTTATATAAAATAAAAATAATGATTTTTTTGAAGTATTTCCTAGTAATGTCCAGTCGTTTCTGACTCTAGGGGGTGGTGCTCATCTCCATTCTTGGTTGAGGGAGCCAGCATTGTCCAAAGATATTTCTGGGACATATGGCCACCATGACTATAAGCTGTTCCCATCAAAGTGATACCTATTTATCTACTCATGCTTTCAAACTGCTAATGGGCAGGAAATTTCCTAGTCTTCTTATACAAACACACACACACACACACACACACACACACACACACTGCAAGGTAACTGGCATAACAGGGTTTAAATTGGTTCTTTTCCTTCAACAGGACTTTTTCCATATGACTTTCCACTGAAATCATCTTAGCATGCATAATTGGACTGCTATAATAATCTACCATTGCAAATTAGCTCCATCAATCTTAAACAAGAATTATCTAAATGTATTCTTGCAAAGTTTTCCAAAATAAAATTAGATCCATTTTGAAAAAGAAGTGCAATCAGTGATTTATTTATTTATTACCACATAGATCTCATTTTTTTTCTTTTTTTTAAAAAAGTTTATAAAACCCATGTTTGTATCTTCTGAGTAAATTGCTTTCAGGGAATGTTATAACTGCTTAGACCATTCAGGAATGACAAAGATAAGCAAATAATTGAAATAGTAATTGAATATTACTATATAATTATAATTTAACAAAATTAAGAAACTCTAAATAAGACTGATATAGTATACCCTAACACCTATTTTACTGCCAGAATGTAAAGCACTACATGAAATTATTTATTATGCTGGATTATGTATAGTGACTTACAGATAACATGCACATTTAGTATTGTTCTCATTTTCCATTGTATACCATTGTCAGTCAACATGAAATCGCATGTATAAGTGCCATTATCTTTATCATACACAGAACGCAGCACTAGTTTATCATGGTAGAATTGTAGGCCAGGTCTTTTCTTTTTAAGTTTTACTTGTACTCCATTCTACAAGAAGATAAAAATGAACAACTCAAATATTATGATAGGTTGAAATGTACAAATTCACAAATTCTTCAGATATTTCATAGCAACTGGTATTCTGATCCTCAAATGAATTATAAAACTATCATGATTATCAGTCATGAAGGGTGCGATTAAAGAATTTGGATGAAAAAAAGGAGTTTTAATTTGCTTTTCTTCCTGCAATAGTCTTCCCTGTACCAGCGCACTCCAGATATGTGGCATTCCAGTTCATATGAATCCCATTTTGGTTTTGACCATGCTGGCTGGGAACTGCACAAATTGTGATCCATTATAAGCAAAGAGTGCCAGATTGTGAAATTCTATTCTACATGAAACCAGATCCTACAACCTTTCCCATCCCACCTTTCCAACAGCAATTAGCAATAACCCTTAGACTTATATGCACTTCACAGTGCTTTACAGCCCTCTCTAAGCAAGGTCACCATATTGCCCCCAACAAACTTTGTCCTCATTTTACCGACTTCGGAAAGATAGAAGACTGAGTCTGTCTTGAGCTGGTGAGGATCGAATTTCTGGCAGGTGAAAGAATTAGCCTGCAAAACTGCATTCTAACCACTGCACCACCATGGCTCTTAAAATGAAATTAAAATTAAAACTAAAGGGCTTTGTATTTGCCCATCCAGTAGCAGCACCTATAGTACCTGACCTTGGCTAATCTTGAATGTACATCCAACTATTAACAAGATCCAAAGTTGCTTAGGTTTTCAAGAAACCAGGGAATGTTAGGCTAAAAGGTTAAACTGGAGGTCAAATAAAATATTCCAGTAGAAATAGTGACAATCTCTCTATAATTTTTCAAACAAATCAAAGCTATTTGTTGTGAAATGCACAGCAATTGAATGGATTCAAAGGAATTGTTACCTTAAAAGAAACTTACTTTGTACCATTTCACTGGTGATTGTTGAAAATTAGAGTAACAGTTTTTCCCTGGGCAACCAATGGATGTTCCTTGGTCCACGTAGAGGTAAATGTCATTTATGTTGTTAACTGAACAATTAGCCATAATTTTTGTTTGAACAGTTATTAAAATATTGACACATGGTGATATGTTATCCCTGTGTGACGCAAAAAGAAATGTCAGGTGAAATTATCCAGAGACTAATTCTGTGCAGGAAGAGAAAAAACAAATTGAATATATTGTTGAACTTGAAATGTAGAGTGGTACCTTAGTACTCATTGTTAATTGGTTCCAGAAGGTGCGATGAATACCAAAACAAATTTTTCCATATGGAATAATGTAGCGAGTCTCACGGCAGCTGACACTGACAAGATCTAGCTTGTGATGTATCGAACAACCGATAAGTACCGGACAACATTTTCATGTTGAAATGCATTGAGTACCAAGTTTGATGAGTTTCAAAGTAGTTGAGTACCAAAGTACCATTGTATTATTAAAATATTTGAAAACAGTTATATTTATAATGTCCCAGTATATCCTAAGATTGTAGAGGGGATTTTATTTATGGAAGAAATTGACATAGAGGTTTGTAGATTTGACATGGCACAAAACGGTATGGAAAATGTGGCCTTCCCAGTTGCTTGAGTAAAAATTCCTGTTCACTATCATTGGATAGTTTTGTATCCTGGCTTATTTTTATCTTGTTCCAGAATTATATTATACAGTATCATATCATTCATAAAATTATATGGCTATGATCACACTACACAGCATACATACTCTTAATAGCTTAATAGCTTCCATTCTTTTTCTGAATTATGATTAATATAAAATGTTATCTACATGAAAAAAACATATTTTACAAATAATTAGTTGTAGATCATATCAGATTAAAATAAAAAGCCTGACTGCTATTTATTGTAGAGGTTTCGTCTACTGGCATAGTTAAAATGATTAAATAATTTAACATGTCTTTATTTATTTGTTCGTTCATTTTATTATATATTTATTTGTCAAATTTATATAGCTACCCATGTTACCCAAAGGACTCTGGGTGGCATTGGAGGATATGATCTATCCCAATTATTACCATTAATTCCCAGTTCTTTTGGATAAAGATAATTTCATGCCCAAACCACTTCTTCTATCACCACCATCCACAAATTGTTTCCAAAATAATTAAGAAATAATTGTTGGGATGGTAAAACACGAGCAAATTAGAAGCTCATTTGCACAGCACAACCAACCTTTTCATACAGATGTATATTCCAGAATGTTCGGGTTTTATTGGGTTAAACCAGAGTGAATTCCCCAAAGGAGTAGGATTGGCAGTTTTATCACTGAGGATCACAGTGGCTCCTCCATCACTGGATTGCTGGAACCACATGACATGATTTTCATAAAGAGGAGAATGGTTGTAAATTGATGTAGTGTCTTCAGATGGCAGGTCACATGATACAATAAATTTGTGGTTGCTGATGGCTCTATACCTCACATTGGTATGCTTTTTAAGGCAATCTGAAAATAATGAAAGAAGTCAGTACTATTTTTTTAAAGGACATTTTAGTTATTATATGCCTCCAGGAACATATGTAGGCCTTTGCTTTTGAGAAGCAATCGGGTTCTCAACTAGTAACAATAAGGCATCAGATTTGCCAGTGTGTGATATTTGCCAGCACTAGTTCTACAGCCATGAATAAGACAACAAGCTGCATTCCTTAAATCCTCTCAAACAGCTTGAAAACAAGCCACGAAGACCTCTGATATCAAAACCTTATTTGATGACCTGGGGCATGGCACCAAGGCAATACAGCCAGAGTTCTTTTATTAGCTCCAACTTTGCCCACAATGACCCAGTTACCTTCTGGTCTGGAGAAAAGGTCTCCCACGAACCTGCACCAGCTTTTGGTTGCAGATATTCCAGTCCAAACTGAAAACTTTAAACTATAAATCCAACAAGGCAAAATAAGGTAATAAATCCAGCAGAGCAAGATATGGAGTTCCAGAAATGAAGTAACAGGGCAGTAAATCAAACCGGTTGGGAGGATGCCAAGAACTCAGATAACTGCAGCCAACACAAGATAAACTCAATGTTTGTTCCCAACAACTGTCCCTCCCTTTAAACTTCATCCTAGGTGTGCCTTGTGAAGGGAACCAGGGCCCTTTCCTCCTTCGTAAGTCATGCAACTCACCATGCTGCTCTCTTCTCCGTTCTGCCCTGCATACCCTAGGATGAAGAGGGGGTAGGCCTTGGTCTTTCTCTGAACCCCCTCTCCCTTGTTCTACCTCTTCCCTGCTCTGCCCAGCCTGACTTTGCCCTTCCCCAGTTTCCTCCACAGCCAATGGAGCTACTCTCCCACTCTGTCAGCTGATTGTCTTCCTCCTCGGATTCAGGCTCCAACAGGGCATGACACATTGAGAACATTGTATGCCCCAAGCATCCATAGGTCATAAAATAGCAGTTCATTTCCCTCACTTTACTTGAAAAGAAAATAACATGCTTGCACACACACACACACACACACACACACACACACACACACACACACGTCTTATTTCATACTGAATGAATTTGGCAGCACATAAAAGGGGGGAAACCTGATTAAGCCCCCTCTCCCAATTCCTATAAGGGGAAGCCTAAAAGCCATCATCTGCCTGGTAGATCTGAGGAGATTGTTAAAAAACTGGTACCAAAAGATGAATTAAGGCCAATGTTCAAGCAAATGAGGAAATGGTTTCCCCACAAACTATACAGCATAGCACCATTTCAAAGAAAATTCTGCAGTTTAAAATATACCACAACTATGTCAGAAAAAAATGGGTGAGTTGCTAAAAACAGATGTTGGACTAAGACTGCAGAGTCTTTACCTGATTCAGCATTAGTTCAAAGATTCCATAGATTCAACATATATTAAAGACATATTGATCTTCAATATGTCTTTAATATGCATTGAATCTATCAATCTCAATACGATCAACACTGATTGATAATGTTTCTCCAGGATTTCTAACAGGAACTTCCAGAATGATCAGGAAATGTTGGGAATTAAACTCAGATTTTTTTTTTTCAGATGAAGTGTGTTCTATGCATTTAATCTTTGAATTGAAATCTTTTTATCATCAGAGGCTGAAAAAAGATGTATAGATAGCATATTTAAGAAAAAGAAAACTCTTGTTTGCTATTCAAGACCAACTTATGAAGAGGATGCAGTTTTGAAAGGTGAATAATGACAAGAATATATGTATTCTTGAAAACGCCTTATACTGTTTATTGACATGCACAATAGATTTTTGTAGCTAACAAGAAATATACATATTCCTGACCTAGGAAGCCCTCCCTATCTGGAAATCATTAAAATCTGCTTCTGTGAAAGATATAAGATAACACTTTAGGTAGGAAAATATCTTTAAAAACAGAATCCTTTATAGTGGTCCTCTATCCACAAGTCGCGGGCCATGGCCCACTATTGCTCCGTGAGCTTTTTCGGAACCAGGCTGTGGAAGTGATCAGGGAGCATGCACACATCCCCATTTGCATGAGCAGTGGACAAGCGCAAATGGAGCTGGGGTGGGCATATTTGGTGGCCACTCAGGCAGAACCATTCTCTCTCAGTGGTGGGATTCAAATTATTTACTACCAGTTCTGTGGGCATGACTTGGTGGGTGTGGCAGGGGAAGGATACTGTAAAATCTCCAGTCAGAGGTAGTATTTGCCGGTTCTCCGAACTACTCAAAATTTCCACTACTGGTTCTGCAGAACTGGTCAGAACCTGCTGAATACCACTTCTGCCTCCCCCACTTTGCTGGAGAAGTTGGGGAGCTCTGCATTATAGGAAAGCTGAGAAGGAAACATCAAACAACGAAGATTTGCAGTAAGAGTAATGACATAGCTTACCAGTAACAGTAATATCACCAGTTTCTACTCTTGCCACAAACGATAGAAAGCACCAGAAAAAAATAAGCATTTTTTGTCTAATGTTTCATTTCTGCAGTGTTGTATCTTTGGCAGTAGACTTCAGTGGCAGACATCGAAACTCTTTTCATTACTGTGAAATAATCAAATATAGTTATCTGAAAATAATTCATTCCAGACAGAAGCTACATGGAAAGTGTATAGAAGTAAGCAAAAAAATCAATCCCCTTTTCCCTGTGACAGCCCTTCAAGTATTGGAAGATAGCTATCATGTCCCTTCTAAGCCTTCTCTCGTTAGACTAAACATAAGTAGTTCCTTTAGCTATTCATCATATGATTTAGCCTCCAGAACCCTTATGATCTTTGTTGTTCTTTTCCACACTGATTCATAGCTACAACTGTCAGAATGTTATTAATTTGTATTAAGAAAAAACAAGGGATTGTATTTATAACTACTGTAAATGCAAAATTATAAGAATGCCAAATATAGTTTAAACATCTGATTGTGTGACAATCCAAACATAATAATAATATAACATGTATCTATTATCTTTTATACTACCTGTTTAAAGAAAATTTTAAAAGAAACATATGGGGAAATATGGTTGACTTCCAACTGAATGTAAGATTTTCTCCATGAAGCTTCTATGAATGAGACAGATTATAGAGCACAATAGAATCTTCATTTGAACTGATTTCATTTGGGACCTGAGAAATAAAAACTACTACATTCATCTAATTAACACAGAAAATTTACTTAGTAGAGATAATAGATTTATAGATATACTTGTGAAAGAAATCCAAAGGCTTTTTTTTACCTGCATTCAAACAAAAAGTTAAATCAAGACATTCAAAGGAAAGGAAACAAATATGTACATACTATTTGTGACATTTTAAAAAATCCTTAAGTATTATTTGAGGTAGTAAATCTGAGAAATTGTAATTTGAAAAGGGATTATTTTCTGAATGAAAAATCTTACCTTTCAATCTTGTCAGAAGCAGTAAGCGTTGTTTTCCCTTCTAAACGGAATTTCATATTCATATTTCCTTTTAATCAGCTTCCTTGACCTCAATGTCATCATTACTTCCTTTTAACAAGTCATGTTTCCGGCCACAATTTGTGAGCAAGATGTGAATCTGTATTTTATTATTACACAATAGGAATATATCTTTCCCAGATTTGCACTGATAGAAACTAACATACCTCAGTACTGCGATAATAAATTCTCCTTCCTTTATATGTGTCCTCTCTCTCTGCTCACAATACTCTAAAGTACCCCTTACTTTTTCTGGCAGATAATCTGAGTAATTTATTTTTTTAGATCTAGGTCTGAAGTAGAAAACCACAGTCATTGCTACCATTGGTTAAATCCAGTTCACAATTGTGTTCATAGTGAAATGACAGACACTGTCAATAAACCACAAACAGAACTCTTTAAAGTTATGACTAACCCTACATTTTTTTTTTTTGCCCTATTTAATTTAATAACTCAAATGCCTTAGGTTGGTTAGCTCTGAAACATTAACAATTTTTGAAAAAAGAAACCCAGACCTGGTTAATAATCCTGACAGTCTAGGCTAGACTGAGAAGGAAAAGAGGATAAATATGGGGAAAAGGCAATGATAAATCACTTTCCTGTTATCATGAAATACAATGATATATCCTAGCAGTTAAGGCAGTTGTTATTTGGCTTCTTATCACCAGAGAGTGGTGATACACTTCTCCCTGGCAAATGGTGGAGATCGACTGATTTATAAAATTTATTGGCTATCCATCTTTCTCATAGGATAATTCTGGGTGACTTACAATTACATCTTAGTTAAAAGATAAAATGTTAAAATCAAACCTTACAGCCAAGGTTTGGGGAGGGTGGCGGCATAGTCAGGAAGAAGTGGGACAGTGGTGGGATTCAAAAATATTTACTACCGTTTCTGTGGGCATGGCTTGGTGTATGTGGTTTTGGTGGGCATGGCAGAAGGATACTGCAAAATCTCCATTCTCTCCCCCTCCTGGGGGAAGGTTACTGCAAAATCACATTTCCTCCCCACCCCACTAACCTGCTTTCCAGCTCCATTCTCCTATGCAGGGCAACAAAAGAAGACCCAGCTGACCAGCTGGGACTCAGGAGGCAGAGAATAGATGGGGGCAGGGCCAGTCAGAGGTGGTATTTGCCGGTTCTCCGAACTACTCAAAATTTCTGCTACCAGTTTTTCAGAACTGGTCAGAACCTGTTGAATACCACCTCTGAAGTGGGATCTGTGATTACTCAATGGGGAGGAGGCAGAGTGCAGGGGAGAGCGGAATGGAGTGGTGGGGAGGTGGGATCTGTTATCACTCAATCCACTACCTCCATTGTGCTGATCCCCCACTGGGGCCCCAGGCCGAGTGGCATAACCACATCTTTAGACCCTTATAGAAAGATAGGAGGGTTAGGGCTAACCTCACATTGGGTTGGGGGAAAGATGTTCCAGAGGGAAGGAGCAAAGATTGATTCATAAGAACAAGAATAGTCCATTTAGAAATCAGTCTAGGATTATACATACATTTCGCTTCAGAAGTGCATGCAAATCAATGTAGCTGAAAAGAAAGGAAATTCACAATTCATTCCTGATCGTACAGGATTTAGATAATTTATAAGGAGATGAGAATGGTGAAGTAAAACAGCATAAGAACCTTGAACAACAGCACTAGAAATGTTTACAACTCACAACAATACTCTCTGTATGTATGTCTAATTAGGTAGTTAGCTAGAATCCTGAAATCATCAGCAAAAAAACCATGCATATTTGCCAAATACACTGAAGTTGAACTTTTGCTACCAGACTTGAAGGAGAAAAACACTTACGCGTTCACCCTGAGAAAGACCAACGTTCTAGATATGTCAGATCATACAACTGGAGACAGGCTAGTTTTGCCTTAACTGAGTGACTCATTTTCTCCATTACCTTGGACTGTTTCCTATTAATGTCTTACTTTTCAGTTTCACAGATCTCTTTCCTACAAGTTCATGAAACTACAGGGTAAACAATATGATTTTGTACCTTCTTTAAAGCAAATAATACTGTGCTATGTGCACATGCTTAAGGGTAGGGAGTGATGATCAGTCCTGTGTTGCAGGCTGGATAAAAATAATCTTGCCTTCGAGGAAAGTTATCATGGACATCACGGTCATTTGTCTTTATGTATTGTATCTAGGTGACTAAAGGCATTCAGGCTGAAGATAGGAAAACCAAGATGACACACTTTTTAAAAACTGACTAGGGCTTCTGTCATGCTTTTTTTCCGATTCCGTGGACATCCCTAATTGATTATTAAAGAATCAAAGAAAACCCAGATATCTATATAACTCCTTTCGAAAAGAACAATTGTTAACACATTTTTTTCTGTATTTTTTAAAAATAAAAATTGCAACAGAGTCAGTAGATAGTAAATTAAGGCATACTACAATTGAACACATTTCAGTCATTAGACTTCAACATTTGGATGTAATTAAATTTTAATACAGCAAAAAGTCAGTCAGTTTGTTTAACAAATATCTAACATGGAAATCATAGCAAAGCAATGTCTAGTACACATTTACTCTTAAAATGGCCTTTATTCCACCTACATTCCCTTGGTTGTCTCCATTCTTATCTGCTGCTTAAAGGCTTTTTAAAAATTTTGTGTAAGCTGAGAAGTGACTGTACAGAAATGGTTTTCCATCACAAACTGGAACATAGGATTGTGTAACAAAAATAGACATGGCTTCAAGGTAAAAAAAAAAAAAAAGGTAGGGAAAACCAGGACCAGCCTAAATCTAAATCAGTGTTTATGACTTTAACATTGTTTTCTTTCTGACACAGAAAAAACAACCTTGAAGGACTTGAAAACTCTAAGGACCTGCAATCTTATCTACCCTTTTATTGAAGAATTTTGTCCTGGAGAGAAATATCTTATGTAAAGAGAAATTCCTCTATTAAGAACATCCAGTAGATACAATCCATCAAATTTAATGTGTTATCACATACAACCCTGGGGAATTCCAGGGTAATAAGTTATTATATATTATAAATGCATTTTAGTCACCTTGTAGCAGCAGCATTATGTTAGATGAATTTTCTCAGGCTGATGCCAGCCTGATCGGATAACCTAGCTGTGAATGATAGATCTATACAGTAGTCCATATCCATATTTGAAACATATGGGATACATATGCAGCACCAGACTCCAACTAGCAGCCATTCTCAGGACTCTCTGACACCATTAGGACTTCAGGGAATACACCAGCACTTTCAAGACAGATGCTATGTTCACAGTTATAGACACTTAAGGGTACTGTCAGCATGACAGTAAAAGCAGAGTATTGCCGCTGCAGCTGGTTCTTTTAAATATATTTCATATATGCAATACACAGATATAAACTAAAATTCTGACTGATTCCTGCCCAAGTTAAATAACACAAGACCCAATGAATTCACATGTATTAGGTATCTTTCAGTGCTTTCTTTCCAATGTCTCTCTCTCACATACAGAGCTGAACTCCAAATATAGTTCTTGTTAATTGGGGACAATTGTTGTAATGACGAGGCAGTAGAGTTGTTTGATCATGAACAACTGAATCATGATGATCGTTATTGGAGTATAGTCTTGTATTTATATACATTTTTAGTTATCCTCCCTCATTGGTTAACTTTGGTTACTGCTTAACTTTTGTTACTGTTCAGCACAGTAATCCATACAATTAATTATCTCTAGTTAAAGTCTAACATATGTCTACTTCCCCTCTCTAATCCTCCTTTATCCATAGATTAGTGACTTTGTTTGCCTGAGTTGTATTTGCTTGGAAACATTCTTTATCTGAGGTTTGCCATCCGAGATTGGAACATTCCTGCAATTACAACTCTACAGACAATGTAAATGGTAAGTCAACCATCTTTCAACAAATGCTTGCATTTTGTGCATCATTCTAATTGATGTTGCAGTGCTTTGATTGTCTCTCTTGGGCTTCTGATTCTTTGTCACCATCTGCTGCATTAAGGTTCAAACAGCAATAAAATACAAAGAAAACACGATTGTTCTTTGACATGTTGACATTGGACCCCCACTTTTCAAATAAATCTGTAAGGCAGAAGTCCGGCATTTTGACATATTGTGTAAAAAAGATGGACATCCATATGGAATATACATACTGAATTAAACAATACATAAATATATTATTGAAATAAAGTCTAATGACACAGATAGGACAACCTGAAGCCCACAGCCTCAATTCTGCAGCTCCCAAGTATCTGTGAACACATTCTTATATTTTACTGCCAAGCAACAGTGATGAAGATCTAGTAGTAGGCAAGTGATGGCTCAGAAGTGATACAGAAGGCATTTGTTCTTTTTCTTCTGTCCTGTTACCCCTTGACAAGCAGCTGAAATAGTTGGCTTGGCAGGCATGGCATAGCAAAGCTTTTTCCAAAATTTTGAATTTAAAGGTAGTGATTTTTCTTCTTTCCATTTCACCACTTGGCTGGAAGAAAGAAGTTCCAACGACTTGGGCAAGAAATCAAAATCATTTTTTGGCATGTATTCTATTAATATGACTCTGATCTTTCTCTCAACCAAGGCTTTATGCAGTCCAATCTCTAGTTCGTACATGACTTGGTCAGAGACATAGTTTCGGCTCAGAATAATAATTAATCTTCGACTTCTGTCAATGGATGATTGGATGTCATCAATAATAGCTGTAAGTTAGAAGAGGTTATATTTTATTTCTATGAAACCACAATTATTCATATTTTACTAGTTTTAGTTAATGTTTTATGCAAAAAATATTTTAATTTATTAATCAAATTTATATAGTGGCCCATCTTCTCCAAATAAACTGGGTGGCACATATCAATAAATAAAGCAATATAAAACATATACAAATGTAAAAGGTTACAGTAATAAATAGGTGTGTGTGTGTGTGTGTGTGTGTGTGTGTGTTAAACCATATAATTATGCTAAAATCAGTCAGCAGCCAAATTTGAACATTTCCGAGCTTTAGGACAAATTCAGATGGATGGATGGATGGATGGATGGATGGGAGGGAGGGAGGAAGGGAGGGAGGGAGGGAGGGGAGATGTTATCTGCAATATTTTCAGAAACAACCATATACCACATCTAGAATCATTGCTTCATTCATCCAATGCTTTTTATTTGAGCAAAAGAACAAGCCAAGAGTTTCAGCACTTTTCTCCAAAATCACAGCAAATGAACATATGTGTGTGTGTGTGTCTGTATTGTGTATGTGTGTTTGTAAACAGTATATAATATACAGCAGGGGTCGCCAACCTTTTGGACCTCAGGGACCACCAAACTCATAATTTTAGATCCCAGGGACCACTAACCGGTTCTGTGGGCGTGGCCTAATTTGTGGGTGTGGCTTGGTGGTCATGTGATTGGCTGAGCATGGCTTGTATGTAAATATTATAAACATTTATATAAATATTGAATTTTTTTTATAAAAAAGAGCAACTTTTACCCAAAATCAGGCAAAACAGGTAGATTGAGTTGCTCACAGAATCATTCAGTAATCTATCTATCTGCCATCGGCTAACTCAGTCTCTCAAATGTGCTTGCCATGAGTCTGCATTGAATAATAAAACCTTCAGTCCTAAGGGAGGTTCGGCTGTGCTTAAAAGCAGAGCCGAAGATCTAAAGACCAGCTAGAAAGCAAGAAATCCAACCATTTCCTGCTTCCTAGCTAATCTAAATCTCCGGGCACAGCAGAACAGATGATGGTCAGAAAAAGGAAAAATAGCAATTTAACAGGCAAGTTTACCAGGTAAGGAGTGAGTGGGCGGGGAGGGTTCCCGCGGGCCATGTGGGCAGCGCAGCTTTGTGTTTCTGTGCAGCCTGGATTAATTGCTTGGGGGGGTGCTCTGGAGGTGAGATTTCTCTGCAGCCCACCAAAATGTTCTCACGGCCCACCAAAATTTTCTCACGGCCCACCAGTGGGCCGCGGCCCACCAGTTGGCAACCACTGATATATAGTATATAATAAAATCTCAATGGTGCTATTTCTAGGAAACTAAATGGCTGTGGTACAGTGGTAGGATTCAATTTTTTTTACTACCAGTTCTGTGGGCATGGCTTGGTGGTCGTGGCAGGGGAAGGAAACTGTAAAATCTCCAGTCAGAGGTGGTATTTGCCGGTTCTCCGAACTACTCAAATTTTCCATAACCAATTCTCCAGAACTGTTCAGAACCTGCTGAATACCACCTCTGCTGTGGTATATTTTAAATTTAAGCAAAAGAAAAAGATATTTTACCAATATATTCATTTGTCTCATCTACTTACCTCCTCCAGGAGAAATATCTCGTTCAAAAATGCATAACTTATATCCAAAATGGTCTTCTAATATTTTAGGCAGTATCTCCAGAGCAAATTTTCTCTCTTCACCACATATTGGTGTACAGTCTTTCAGGTAAGACACAAAAGCATCATATAGTTTTCCATCTATAAATAAATAATTCACAGAGTCAGCATACTTCTCTGACATAATTACTTATAGGAAGGACATTCAGGCAAGCTCTCCTATTTTGTTGTACGATTGGCTAAATAGCATTTATTTATTCTGTAATTATTTCCTTTATAAAACAATCAAATAGAGATTGTTTATGGCATATTAAATGCGGAGCCAAAGGAAGACAGAAACAGATGAACAGAATCAATAATTTCCCATTTTGTAGAACAATTGTGTATCTGTGTTACTTTCCAAAACCAACTCTGTATCCCTAATTTCTGTTTTCTTTCAGAATAGAGAAAGACTACAATAATAAAAAGTGAAGAAGTTACAATTTCTTCTTTTTTCCCCTTTGATCCTTATGGATTTAAATCAGTACTATTCTTTGTTAAGTCAAATCGATCATTTTACCTCCCAGTGTTTCATCCTTTCCCGTTATAGCTCTGAACAATAAAACAAGTTCAATCTTGAATATTACACAGAGAACCACTATCATTACAGCAATAAAGGAAAACATTATGGCAGTTATCATTCCAGCAGTAAAGGCGTGAACTGGTAAATCTGGATTAGATTCTAGAAAGAAAAAGAAGAAGAGAATAGATTATTGCGTAGGAAGGCAAGCTTTTCCAATAATCACAAGAAGAATTTAAAATATTTTCTAGCCAAATCCCTTTCTAGTATGCCTTGAGACAGAAATATATGTAATAATATTTTGCCTTGTACTTCTATCTTAAAATAGAAAAATATTCTTACAGTCTATAAAGATATGAAACATTTTATCTATGATTAAGTAACCTTAACATAGCCTACTAAGTTTATATATTATATCATATATAAATGCAGCCACCAATTCAGAACTAGAAAGTCCATTTGCTTTTACTCAAGATCAATATTTGGCATTAAAGAAGCAACTAAATGTTGTCAAATTCATGTACCATGTAAAGGTGCAATGCACAGGATATTTAGAAGGCTTTATCCATTCTCAATTATCCTTTATACAGTAATGTATCCAGCCAATTTTATGCCAGCTGGACTTCAGATTGTCTATAAGATGATCAGCCTTTCCATGGACACCAGACAGGAAACATGACCAGATGAGCTAATTTAATTTAATTGTAAGGCTATATTAATAAAATAGCAAATTCAGGGGAAAAATATGAATTCTTTTAATAAATTGAGTGTTCAGTTTTCTTAAAAAATGGGAAAGACATCCATATTATTGTACAAAATAATATACGTAGATATTATTATAACATAAGTAGATGAATATAAAATATTTTAATCTATGTAGTATTTCTATCCAAAGCTGACTTGAAAATGCCATTAGTTTTTCTAAAAATAAATGCTTAAAAACATAATCAATTAACCAAAAATACTGATCTTTTCAGGTGCTGAGGAAAATTATATTATTTTGTACAATAATATGGATGTCTTTCCCATTTTTTAAGAAAACTGAACACTCAATTTGTTAAAAGAATTCATATTTTTCCCCTGAATTTGCATAAGATATTAGATGACAATTCCAAAACATTACGGCATTTTTAAAAAATATATTTTTATTACATTAAGACAGGAGTGTCAAACTTGTGGCGCCATGTTGTCATCATGTGCTATATCACAACTTTTTCCCTCACTAAACCAGGGGTGGCCATGGCCAGCTTGTAACGCATCTGGCCCATGGGCCACAGGTTTGACACCCCTGCATTAGGAGATGGGTCTGAGTGTATGAGAGTATTATCTAGAGATACCATAAATGTTTATATATTAGAGGGTATTAAGTTGCTATCTCTGAAACAAACAATTACATCTACAAAAACTCAAATTTAAATTGAAATAGAATTCAATTAGTAAGTAGCCTTGCATAATTTTCAAGTTCTGTTATCAGCTACATACAAAATTATTTGCCCATTTTCTAAGAATTCTTTTACAATTTATTCTTTACAGTTTATTTTTCCTCCATATCAGTTTAGACTGATATGGGTCATATGGAGACACCTGTATTTAATTTTTAAATTAAAAGTTAATTTTTATACTAGATTAAACTATACAATACCTTTTTGCAATATAAATGTTTGCTTTTCAAAACCATTTTCAGAAAAGATGCATTTGTACAAAGAATTGAAGTTCTTTTCTTTCACATGTTTAAACCAAAGTTGTTTCATAACATATTTTTTTCCATTTTCATCACTGTTAAGAAAGGGAAATTGATAGAATAACAATGCTATAAGTATTTACTCTGGGGAAAGCTCAGTGAATTCAATGAACTTAACTTTTAAATAAACAGAAGAGAACTTATTGAATTCAATTAATTAATTTGTTCTTCAGTCATAAAAGTTAGTCCTGCTCTCTTCTTCAGGCATTTTGATGTATCTGGAAGGATTTTGGAAGCTCCCAAGTATGTAAAGTATTCTTCTGTTGACTACTTTGTTAATCTTGGAAATATATACCTTAAATTGTTTTCTTTATCCTGAAATCTTTGAAATCTATACTATTGACAACTTAAAGTTCCATATCTATTTACTACTTAAACTTCTCACTACTTAAAATTCCAACTTCCATAGCATGAATTCCAGAAGTTGCATTTCCAGTATATCTGCAAGGTATTTGAAGAAAGTTGTCCGGGAATTAAAGCGTATAAAGATTAGTTTAAATAACTAGCTTATTCCCATTTTTTAAAAATGGCTGGTTTATATTTTATGAATGAATAAAATAGGAACAATTTCATCTATCCATAAAGTCCCATTCCTGTTGTGGAATTTTCATTTAGGAAAAACAGTTGTTATTCTTTCTCCAAAGAATAGGACAGACTTTTTTAAAAGTTTTTTTTATACTACAAATATGTCATTTTATTACATTGGATATTAGTCATAGTAGATCACATTGCAAAACTTATCCCAAAAAATTTAAAATGCACATAGTCCTTGACTTATAACAGTTCATGTAGTGATCGTTAAGAGTTACAACAGCATTGAAAAAGTCAGAGTCGTGTGATCACTTTTTGGAAACTTCTGACAAGCAAAATCAATGGGGAAGCCAGATTCATTTAACAATTATGTTATTCATTTAACAACTGCACTGATTCATTTAATGACCATGACAAGAAAGGTCACAAAATGAGCAAAACTCATTTAACAAATGTCCTACCAACAAAAAATTTGGGGCTCAATTTGTGGTCATATGTCAAGGACTACCTAAATGTCTAATTATCACATAAGTGTACAAAATATTTGGTTATGAATAGTACTTACTATTTATGTTCGACCTTTTGACACAGTGAACTATTACTCTGACATATTTCTATAACTTCATCATGCACGATCCAATAGAGTTCATAGGGGAATTCAACAAAGTTCTTTGAATAACCTAAAAACGCTGTGCAATTGAGGATTTCCTCTTTACCTAACAGAAATATTTATTTAAAATTAATAATTTTAATCAAAGACTTATAAATATTACAAAGGAGAAGTCACAATTTCATACAATGATCTGCCAATCCAGAAATATTCTCCTTTTTAATCCTCTTCGGTATTAAATTTTAAATCAATGATTAATAGCTTTTCTTCAATGAATATTTCCTACCTGCTGGAATTCCTGACCTGATGATATATATTTAATATAATTTAACAACTACAAATAACAACAAATAAGAAGTTGGAAATTTGAAGAAAAAAAATTGACTTCACTGGCCCTTCAAACTGACAATATTAGAATTCTATTTCTATAATCATTTGTTATGAAATACCTTATGTACCATAGGACTTACCAACAATGTTTTGGTACTCTTTTATTCTCAAAAGAGGGAAAGCATTGTAGGATGTTGAAATACATTAAGTTTTCTAAAATTTCAAATATTTTCTCATAGTACAACTACAATAATAACTATAGATTGTTGTGCACCACAATCCTGCACGCTACATCTATTGCTAATGATTATGATAAAAAAAATAGTTTACATGCTATGGACTACAGAACTACAAAATTGTTAGAAAACTAAAGCACCTGGATGTTCTGAAATCTCTGAAGCCAGTTGTTTTAAAAAAATGACAGTGGATAAAGACACTTCTTTGACAAGAAAAATAACTAATTCTTTAAATTAAAATATCACTCTTTATTTCTCTTTAGAAATCTTTCAAAGGCCTGCCAGCTACTTGTTTCTAAATGCTCTTTTCTTACTCTACTCTTCTAGAAGTAGTGCAGACTATTTTGAATAGATCCTGGATTTAGATATAAACCAAGAAATATCATTTATTTAGTAATATAGTAATATCATTCTAGCTCAAGTACAGAAAAATCTGATATTTTAAAGGCAATTTATACAGCCAGCTTTTGAAAAGGCAAACTTGTTGATATAGCCAAACATCATCATAGATTAATAATAAAGAGAAGTACCTATTTCAGTTGTGAAAACATTATGACCAGGTCCAATTAGCCTTGGGGTTACTTTTTCCTCAGTATCTTAAGAAGAGAAAAGAGAATTACTTAAACTAATTTTCCTAAAGTCCATCATGATGATAATCGCTAACATGTTGTCTTTACATAAAACATTTTCTTTTAAATTTTTAGGTGAATTGGCCATTTAATCAAAGATGATTCTTCATTTTAAAAACATGATTTTGGACTGCCCCGGACCATTAGGATGTATTCTCAAAATTACATAGCTAAATTTTCCTCTCTAAGGAGGAGAGAATCCAGTACAGCAGAATGATTTTCAGTGTGGTGGTCTTCTAATATCATATTCAAAATAGAGGTATGATGCATTGCATATAAAACAAGAACCACATTAGCGGCATGCATACACACAGGACCAAGCAAGATAACATCAGGGAGTCCTCAACTTATGAGTGGTTGCTTAGCAACCATTCAATACTTATGACAGACCCCCCTCCCACAAAAGGTACTTACGACCCACTTTGAGCCAGTTCCAAAGTTCTGACAGCTGATCTCCTATGTCACATGACTACATTTCGGGAACTTGGAAACCCATACTTTATGACCATTTGCAGAATCCCATGATCACATGACCATGATTTATGATTATTTTTTTTGCCAAAAAACCTGTATTTACTTCAATTTTTCAGTAAAAATGTCCTATAGTGAACACTGGGTTCACTTAACCACCATGGTGTTCATTTTACAGCTACCTCATTTGCTTAATGACCACTGCAAAGAAGGATTTAACATTGGAAACAATCACATGGTGACCTATTTTATGACATTCAGATGACCGTAATGGGCAGACTCCATTATGGTCAAAAGTCAAGGACTATCTATATCAGAGATGGCTAACTTTTCCAGTACCGAGTGCCCAGCATGGCTTGCATGCGCACTCCCCATGCAAAATGCAATACACATGTGCCCCCATGTATCCAGCTTCATGCATGCACACGCCCCATGTATGCATGCGTGTCCCCCCCACATACATGTGCATCCCCACCCCTGCTCCCCACCCCTGCACATGTACCCCATCCCCCATGCATGTATGCACGTCTCCAAACATACACCCCGCCCCCCACGCATGCACAGCAGAGACCCGAAGACCAGCTGGCCAGTGGAGGTGTTTGCATGCATGCACAGCAGAGCTGACCTGGGGTGAAGGCTAGCGTGCCCAGAGAGGGCTCTGCGTGCCACTTCTGGAACATGTATCATAGGTTCATCATCACGGACCTATATCAAGCAATAAGACTTACTTCACCCAGTTATACAGCCAACAAGCCTGAAGGACTTGAAGCGGAGATAATTTCTGATAGAAAGCTGCTGGCATGAGATAAAATTGAAGGGCTGTGCAGAGGACTTATTATAAGACCCTGTCTGTGCACACAGTCATCTATTGGGCCTCTGTTTTCTCCAGCACTGTTTGCATTACTAGCCAATACATGTATAAACGTGGACAGCTTAAGCAAATGTAATCCATAAAGATAAGAGGATTGGAAAGTCTTTCTCTGTGTTGTGTTTTCTTGAGTTCTCCATTACTTCATAAGATACTAAAATTCAAATCTGTCACATTACAACAAGAACACCACTGATTGTGGTCCCAAGACATTGAACAATTTTACACAGCCTCACCTTTAATATTTAAACTGGTGGTACTTGTGCTGTTATATTTCTTTCCTGCATGAAGAATTGTTTTTACACATGTATATTTTCCACCATCCTTTTCTGTTAACTGATCAATGTACCATTCTTCTTCACCTCTCTTATTAATATTCTCTATGCAGTCCTGTTTCAATGAAGATGTTTACAAGTTGGCTTATTATAACATAAAATATACAATTTCTTTTTTAAAGTGGGCATGTTGTAAGATAAAGCTCTCCATCCTATTGGAAAAAATGCATCAATCTCTTTTTTCTAATCAATTGGATAAACATGATTGCATTAAGCATTCATTTGTTTTATTCAAAAATTATTCTGCTTAGAATTCTTAGCCTGGGAATAAGTCCTACAGAACCCAAGTAGAATAATGTCAGGGTTCCAAGTAATAGCTCCATAGAAAGAAGAACTCCAAGGCAAACAAGTTCCTCAAAGAACAATTTTATTGGAGATATCACATTAGCACAAGCTGGTGAAAAACGACTCCGAAAGTTCCTGACTGATTAAAAAGTTTCTCCAAACAATCAGTCACATTGACCAATCAAGGCATTGGCTCGTTGCCTGGATACTGTGCTCCTCCTCCCTCCAGCCACCTGTTGGAATGTCCTTGGTTCCCACAGGAAACTATTTTGTTTTGGCTACAAACCCCCATATAACTATTCTACCCCCCTCCCTATCCCTTCTTCGCAGCGTGGCAACCCTGAAGCCTCCAAAATGGCCCTAGCCAGGTTCACTTCAGAGCTGACAAGTAGTATGCATAGATTTTGATATTTAAACTAAATCCCCAGAATTAGTTGCTTAAAATCAATTCTTTAAATCTACTCCAAGAAAATAAAAGAACTTTTGGAAAGAATGAATACAATGCAGAAACAACCTTATGTCAATATTCATTCTTTTTCAGTGAAATATGTAGCTATTACTAGGATGTATTACCAACAGAAGTTTGTATTATAAAGTGGCATTTCTGGAATTAACAAATGAAACTACCTGTAAATAAAATGTTCCCCTTATACAAATCTCTGTTAAAAAGACATTTAAAGAAGGATTTATTTAAAAAAATATTTTTCAACAACAGGTAATTTGACTAGGAGTTGCCATCCAGCTGTAGAAGACACTGGCAGGGTAGTTTAAAACTCTAATCAGCTTCAGGCTAGGATTCTTGATGTATTTATTTCCACCATTTATGGAAACAAGGATATGAATGTTAGCTACATTCAGAGTTTTTTGAATAAGTGTGTAACTCCTCAAATGGGTAGTGGTTGACAAAAGTCCTCTCTTTGTATACCAATTCTACAAGCAAAGTGGAGAAAGTGTCACCACTATGAAAGGTTCATGAACTGCTATCTAAATGATGCAGAATAGAGTAATGTCTGGAAGATTCTATATACCATCTCTATAGTATACACTGTACTCCATTGAAACTACCAGGACCACTAAACAAAGAGGAGGACAATGTTGTTCACAACGTATACGGTCATTTGTATTTTTGTTGTTATTCCAGTGTATGAATGCAGTGAATGACACTTTCCATTGTGGTATATTATTATCTCCTTCTTCCTGACTATAAACTATTTCTTCTATAAACAAGAAAGTGTTTTAAAAGTACCTTATACCACATTATGCTGATAACATTTGCAGTATCATTTGGACTACTGCATGTGAAAAAATACTCTGTCCCAATTATTCCATCTCTTCCAGTAAGCAAATGCTCTTCAGTGAAACAATTGCTTTTATTTCTCTTGATGACATTTAAGGACCATTCCTTACAGGATTTCTTCCAGGTTCCATTTCTGCATGGGGACACAAAATGTGACATATAAAGCAGAATACTTGTTTCAAGGAGATATACATCCAACCTCTTCATATTATCAAAAACAAACTTGTGAAATCCATGTGAAGAAATTAAGGATATAGATCTCAAAAGTTTAAGAACATGCCCATTTTTTTACTGTGGCACACACTTAAAACTTCCTAAAACTTGGATAAAACCAACTATTCCAATGGCTGAACTAGACTGCCAATCACAGCTACTACTTTGCTTATTTACCATCAGGATCAACTTAAACCTCACTCAGAAGTGCTAGGGTGAAGAAAAGTCAGATCAAATGAGCATCCATGTTGATTGATACAAGTATGCCTTCTTTTTTCCTTCCTTCTCTTGTAGTAATTTATAATCACAGTTTAGCTAGACAAATATATACACAAAGATGTATACTTATTCATTTTTAAATTGTGTTATGGATAATCCTTGCTTAATGACCACTTGTTCAGTGACCATTCAAACTTATAATGATGCTGAATGAGTGAAATTTATGACTGGCCCTCATATTTGTAGCTATCACACATCCCTATGGTCATATGATCACAGTTCAGGAACTTGGTGACAAGCTCAGAATTACAAGGTTGCAGCATCCCACAGACACTTGGTCACTATTTGTAACCTTCACTGCTGGACTACAACAAGGAAAGTCAGTGGGGAAGCCAGCAGTAGGTTGCAAATGGCAACAACGCTGTCAATCCTCAAAATGGTGAGCCTCCGGTGGACCATCTTGGAGTTTTGCCATTCGGTGGGGGAAGGCTTACAGGCATAATGAAAAACAGTAGACTCATGGCATGGGAGGTGGACAACGAAGAAGCAACTGGCCAACAATCAGATGGAGAACAGGCCGGCAGCAGAAGAAAGAACTAGGCCCATCAGAAAGATTCCAGGCCTAACTAGAAGTACAACAGCCATGTGGGTGTTCACTTCCAATTAAATGTGTTTAGTATCACAGCAGAATACTCTTGAATATACATGATTAAATTAGAAGACATTTTTTGTGGTTATAAATCACACAATGTTTAGAATGGGAGGAATAAGCGTATCACAGGTTAAAACTACTATACAAGGCAGGTTATAGGTTTATTTTATCAGTTTTTTATTCATTTTTTAAATTCATATCCACACATATTTTTTCATTCTTTTTAGAGACCTATGTAAATAATATTAATAAAAGTACAATGAATGGTGCTATATTTTATAAATATAAAAGACTATTATTGTCCTTGTTATCATTAAAATGGAGGAAGGATAATATTTTTCTTCTGTTCTAGGGCATACTTCAAAATTGGAGAGAAACTATGCTTTAGTTTTGATTAGAGGCCTTAAGAAACAAATATATAAAATGAGAAGGTTGGGGGAGTTAACTTTTTCATGATTGCCAAACAGTTTGCGTTTAAGAGATTAGAATGACAGTGGAGAAAATAATCAGTGTTGTCTCCATTATAAAACAATTAATACACATGAGAATATTTGGAAATTCCACTTTAAAACAATGAAAGGTTGAATTTATCATTTTCTAAAAATGCAGTTGCTGAAATATCTATGTAAATCATAGTAGTGAAGTGCTTAAGTATCATTTCAGTGAGAGATAGACTTACTCATAATTTTTGTAACATTCTTCCTGTTGCAGACATTTTGGGAAAAAATTAATTTACAATACTCTTCCTGTTATACATGCACATTGTGGCTGAAAACTGTGCCATCACCTTTGGAGCTAAGAAAATTGAATAAACAAACCACAATTTCTGAAGCAACAGTGTTATGTATCTGTGCTCTGCCACAGAGTTTACTGATATTATATTCAAAGCTTCTTAATGCTTTAAAGTTTTAAAGACTAGTGGCACCAAGAAGATGATGATATCCAGAAGACTTTGGCTATCTTTCTTTTTCAACAAATTCTGAAAGATCTTGGAAGCTCTAAACTGATGTTTGGGCATAGGCCAATGACTGAGAAAGGAGGAATAAACTGAGATTTCACGTTAAAAAAAAGATTTATCAATCCTCCTCAGTCCCGGAGGAAGCCATGCAAAAAGTTTGGATGAAGGGGCTTTTGTGGAATTAATGTTTCTCCTGAAAGGTTAGGAAGCTGTGTAATCTCCTAAAATGCTTTCTCCCAGATTTCTCTGAGATAAGTTGGTCTATTTTTGGAGAAGGAAGATAGGACTTTAGGAGTTTATTTTTTAATAACTTCCCCTGTAGACTACAGTTAAACACTCCAAGTTTTTGAAAATGCAAGTATTTGGTCTCTCATTATCATTTCTCCAATTCAGATTTGGACAATCTGAGAGCCTCTTGAACTTTCAATTCCTGCTTAAAGAGCAGATGGAAGATGAAATGGCCATTCTTTCTTTCCACAGATATATCTAGTGCACCAATTATGTCCTTTCCTGAATTGGGAAGTCCTACATATCGTTGTTTGTGCCGCAGTCATCTCAACAGGATTATAGTAATGTGCTCTACATCAGGCTACCTTGAAAACTATCTGGAAACTACCGCTGGTCCAAAATTGGTGTTCTACAAGTTCCAATATTCAGGACATCCCAGGTGTAATTCAAGGTCTGGTTATCACATTTAAAGTCATTTATGGCATAGGGCCTGGCTATCTGCTTGTCTCCAGTCATCCCTGCCATCTGATCCAGTAGAGTGTGTGTGCCCAAATCCTTTCAGTTAAAGAATGTCATCCGGCAGGCAGGACACGGGAGAGGCAATTACTCTGCTGCAATTCCTGACCTCTGGAATTAGCTTCCTCCCATAGATTTTTCCCAAGCTTATGTTACTTAGAAAATTGCTAAAGATGTGGTTATTCTCCCAGGCCTTGCTTGGTGACAGTTGATTTTAGAGCCACCATTTTGTTTTGTTTTGGTTTTCTGGTCTTATTTGTTTTGATTTTCCTCTGGCATTTTGCCTTTCAAGTCGATTTTACTTTCTGTACATTGTTTTTTTAGTTGTAAGTTGCCCAAGAGTCATTTAGGAATAGGGCAATCTAAGAATTGAATAAAAATTAATTTAATTTAATACTGTAAGCTCAGTGCTGGGACAAAATGTAGCAGGTAAGATTCTAACAGGAATGTCTTTTGTAGATCATATTACAGTGATCTTGAAAAAAAAACAATTGATACTGAGTTGGAAATTGGACACACACACATCAAACAATCGTTTTTGCTCTAAAGCATAAATGCCTGGAGATACACTAGCGTAAGGACTGGACTTCTATACTAACTTACTTATAATTTACAGTGCTCATTAAGTGTTCTGTTATACATCCATTCATTTAGTGACTTAGATGGGTTGGAATTTAAACATGGCCCTTTATAGTAATAGGAACTAAGTCTGAAAATTACTCCAAAGGAAAAGGTGATTTGCTGCTTACATGTATTACATGATTAGAATAATTTTGTAATGATGAAATTTTAATACATGTAACACTTTGTCATACTTTAACTTTAAATGCTACAAATACTGAATGGATTTCTTGCTTTTATATCACTATTGAGGAGGAAATGATTACTAAATGTTCTTGCTTTTATATCACTATTGAGGAAGAAATGATTACTAAATTTACCATGGGAACATGCAGCATTAGCTCCATTGCAAAAGAGATGGTTTACCTCAAATTACTAAACTGGGTAAATGAATATTACTGAAATGTAACATCTGGAACAAAATATATACTTTATGAAGAATTACCATGAAGAATCTATACCTTTTATAGTGCATATAACTAACATTGTTTTAAAAAATGCAATGCACTATTTCAGAAGTTTACTTAGGATAAAATACTTTTTTTTATTCTGGAAGCTTCTACTGTCATTTAAAGAAGGAAGTTTGATTTCCATATTAAATTTACCTAACTAAAAGGTGCATTTTCTTTTTCTGGTTCATGGATGGCAAGTTTTACTGTTGCAAACCTTTTCCCAATATCTATATTGGAATTGTTCTTTAGGTAGGACAACATTAATGTTCAACTATCTTGGAACATATGGGGTTCTCCTCCCATTTGTTTTAATTACTAGGGTTTGGTCCTTCTGATAATACTAAATTAATATCATGAGGGAACCCAAACTTGATAACAAGACAACTTTTTTTTATAACCTGTGTAGCATATGAACCTATACCTTAAATTAATAAATAGCCTTAAACTGTGGGGAGGTTTCGTTATTTGTGGAACTAGAACATACAAATTTGCCAATGCATGCAAAATAGAAATGTATTCAGTTAACAACTTTTTACTATGGGTCAGCACTCCAAACTCCCTGTAGTAATAAGGGATTTACCATGTAATTTTCAAATTAATAAAAATTATTCTTAAAAGGTTGTTAGAAAAAATTAAATAGTTGTTCAAAAGAACATGTTGTTCTGGTTGACTTCTGACTTGCTGAAAATCTCATTTCTACCTTTCTCACCAACCAGAGTTTAGTCACCCGCTTCACCACTATTCTGCTGCTACCAGGCATTCAGCCATGTGGCCCCCAGGGGATACCCAGCTGCCATTTTAAAGACTTCTCCCATAGCTTGGCAAACTTGTGCCCATTTATCAGCTAACTGGCCACAAATTGACGAAGGTGATATCCAGGAAACTAAGGATGGATCATAAGGTTGGAGAACAGAGACAAATATGGATAAACGGACAAATATAACTTCCTTCTTAAACATAGCTATGTATATAGTGTACCTACCTGAAACAGCATTGGTAGATTCCAGTATCATTCAGTAAAATTGGCCAAAATTGCAAATTAGACCCATTCAAATCAATTCTGCTGTCTCCATGAATTAACACTTCTTCTCCTTTTTTCCCTTTATACCAATTGATAACTTGTCCTTTATGCTGTGCTTTCTTAGGGCAGCAAAATGAAAAGTATTCTTCTTCTAGCACATTAATAGGTGAGTGCCTTTCGCAAAGCTTTCCTTCAGAAAATGAAAACATATAGAAAATAGAAATACTATTTGTTATTATTAGAAGTATGATAACACTTGGGCTAGTATAGTTCAACTCTATAGCATAACTTGTCCATGGCAGCAGTTTATTGTTGTTGTTGTTTTGGTTAAAAAAAGTTGTTTACATATATCCTAGAAAGAAAAGTATAAAATGGCAATATTCCTCATTTTGACTTCTTGCTCTAATCTCTTTAAATTCCAGTTTAACTATTGCATCTGTTAACAATTCCATTGCATCTTGTGTTATGAAGCTAACGAAAGCTTAACATTATAATAACCTGTTACAAAGAAGATATAATCACCTTCTGATTCTGATTTCATGAGTCACCTTCTGATTTTGCCTTCTATACAGTAATATAGTTTACAACATTTAGAATTTTAGAACAGGGGTCCCCCCAACCCCGGGATGTGGCCTATTCGGAACCGGGCGAGATGCATGCATGCTTGCACACTGGCCCACCACTCATGCAGCACAGTTTTCTTCTCCCCCACTCAGTCGGGCCATCAAGCTGCAAAGGTTGGGGACCACTGCTTTAGAACATTAGAATTCCAGAATCACCAGCTAACAAAGCTGCATTATTAAGTTTGTTTGTTGTATTGGTCAACGCAATTCTGGCAGCCTGCAGACATATTTTTGGATAGTTGGTGCCAAAAGGCCAAGAAGCAACTGAGTGATACAAGGCCTGTCCATTTGTACACATGTTGTAGGTGCCATTTTGACTTTTTAATATCTTTACCCTACTCATCTTCCAAATCCTCTAGGAGACCCATCATATTCATACTATTTAACTGATATTTTTCAAGGAACCTCATCAATATTTCATGATTCTAAAACAGAATACTAAACCTCAAAAGGACTTATGTGTTTAAGCATTTGTGTCACAAAATTTTGCAGACCACTAGTAAAAAGGAGAAATAGATTTTATTGACAATGATGCCACAATAACAAGCAAACTTTGGCTCATGATATATTCTTGCCTTAGTTTAATTAATAAACAATCCAGTTGTAAGATCAAAAAGAGGCTAATGATAAATGGCTGTATTTCAAACTGTGTAATGTAGCATACATAGATATGGAACAGAGCTATAAAATATTGTGGTTTGAGTAGGGGAGAAATGATATTTATCTGAAATAGACTCAAATCATGAATGATACTGCAGTGACATTTATTTTTCATTAGTATTAGATAATTTCCATTCCTTGGAAATATTTAGAGGCTGAAACCCCAACCACTTTTGATTTATTGTCTTGCTGAATGGTGCATTTTTACATGAAAGCCACAATACATTATGATGAAACGAAAACATGTAAATTCACAACTGCCAGCTTATCTTGCCTGATCAACATACCTTTCTCAAACGTTACCCATAACAACTTTCCATTATTTTAATGTTTATGTGTCATGTGCATATGATAGCCAGCCTCTGATAGCATAGACAGTCTTAAAACAATCAACCCAAAATGTCATGTTTTAAGATAAAGAGAGAAACAAAAAGAGTTATACTTACCCCGGCTGATAAAGCTAAGGATCAGTGTTAGCAAAACTGCCAGATTTTCAGAACACATTTTAAAATTTGTTTAAGCTTAGTTTCTCCTATAAAGCAAAAACAAATAAAACACATTTTTAAAAAAATCCTAATTAAAATTTAATTCTAATACTATAATTCACTAGACTTTAATGTGATGATATGAATAACACATACATAATAGTTACACCTGAATCTAAGATTTCAACTAGGAATCAGACTTAAGAAAGTGAACATTTGCATAATTGATGTGGTGAGCTATTCTTCTGCTATAGCTCATTCTTACAAACATGGCTACCCATGTCAACAGTCAAAAAAGTCAAGATGGTGGCAATGATAGTATAATCAAAGCTTCACCCATTTTTGTATCAGGCATATTAGAAATAGGCAAAGCTTTGATTGCACCATCAAGGCTGCCATCTCAACTTCTCTTTTAACCATCTTTATAAATTCCCATGCCCATCATAGATTTTATTTTTCATATTACACATAATTAGCTATTATAGAATTATTGTAGAATCATTGGGCAATCATAAATACTTGATGTCTTTTCTAGACTAACGACATTGGCTTCCAATGGAAGTGCCAATGACCTCTCTGGTCATTATTTCCAAGTAATTCTGGCTATTTTACTCTTGAGCCAACCATACCCTGCAAGCAGTTCACAGACAATTTATTTTTATTACATATATATGTGTACAATCCAGCTCCCATTCTGTTTCATTCCTATGATATTTTATTTATGCCAATATATATGCTGCCCAACTGGATAGAGAAGATTCATGATCCATCACAATTCAATCACTGATGTTTCTGACATGAAATAATATTGCATCCTTCTAACACAGCGCTTGAGGCCTGTGTAATCATCACAGAAACAAAATATTATCTGTCTTGTAGCATTGTCTTGTAGCATTGTCACTGTCTTGTAGCATTGCATAAAAGCTTGTGTCCACTTAGTATATAAACCTGGTCATGTTTTACCAGAAAGAGCTGAAGATTCCTAGATGTTAACTATTGAATCTGTTTCAAGAGTTACAGCAGGAAAAGCCAATGTACTGTAGTAGTTATGGTCCTGGACTAGGATAAAGGAAAACCAGGCTCAAGCCCACCTTTAACCTTAGGGGTTCCCCAGGTGACTTTGGCCAATCAATCACTCTTCCTCAGCCAAACTCCTGACAGGGTTATCTCTTGGACGCCTGAAGAAAAAGTAAAACATAAATCTACAGAAGCCCTAAACTTCTAAAAGCAAATGTAGTCCATGCCTTATTAACACAATTGAGCCCAAGATGCCTGTTGCTAAGCAAGACAGTTGTTAAGTGACTTTTGCCCAGTTTACAACCTTTCTTGCCACAGTGGTTAAGTGAATCACTGGAGCTGTTAAGTCAGTAGCATGGCTGTTGCAAATGGTGATCACATGTCTTGGGGACACTGCAACCGTCATAAATATATGCGCCAGAATTTTGATCACTTAATCATAAGGATGCTGCAACGGTCGTGTGAAAAACAGTTGTAAGTCACTTTTTTCAATACCGTTGTTACTTCAAACGGTCACTAAATGAATGGTTGTAAGTCAAGGACTACCTGTAATTGACTCCACTGCAGATTAACTTACCCTTGGAAACTCATCCTACTGTTCAATCAGATTCACTGGTGTGTAATTTAAGATTATTAGCTTCTGTTTTATGAGGTAGCAGACAAAGGGGGGGCGGAGTATCTGAGGAATTAAGTCTGTAGAGATTCTCAGTCATCCAGGTCATGGTTGTCCCAAAGGTGCTTTTTCAGGAGGCAACTGGACTTTCTTGTTTTTTCTTTTGAAGACGTTTCACTTCTCATCCAAGAAGCTTCTTCAGTTCTTCCATTCCCCACAATCCTGTCAGAGCTGAAGAAGCTTCTTGGGTGAGAAGCGAAATGTCTTCAAAGAAAAAACAAGGAAGTCCAGTTGCCTCCTGAAAAAGCACCTTTGGGACTATCTGAGGAATTACAGGTGTTCTTCACATAAGCAGTCATTCAGCAACCATTTGGATGTACAATGATATTGAATAAGTGGCGATTGTCATGACATCTTTGCAATCATGTGATCATCATTTGAGATCCTCACTGCCAGCTTCCGACAAGGAAAATCAACGGGGAACCTGGCAGGAGATTGCAAATAGTGAAAGTGTGACATTGTGCTTAATGATAGTATGGGATTCACTTTATGAAGCCAACCGGAAGTGCAGAACTGTAGTTACTAAGTGGTACAGTCACATGACATCACACTTTATGACGGTGTGGCTTAGTGATCGGAATGTTGGTCCCAAATAGTGTTGTTAAGTGAAGACTATCTATATGTGCATTGCTATATGAAAATATTCTAAAGTAAATCATAACAATAACAATCTGAAAACAACCTACAAACAATATGATAATTAGCAGAAATAGTCTGAATTAATCAACAAATCTTATCAAACTTTTCATTGGTAATAAAATAAGTTATATATTCCTTGTAAGCAGCACATAACTGGTTTAAAAATTGCACTCATGAAGTTTTTGTTATCAAATCAGAGGGAAGAAGTGCTTCATTTAATCTTAAGTGTTTGACTCATCTGTTTAAAAATGTAGTGACTTAGCTGATTAAAATACAGAGTAAACACAGAATATTTATCAATTTTGCAGATGATACAATAATGAGATGAGATGATAATGGGTCACAAGGAAGAAATAAAATTCAATCTGACATTGATAGAGAAATTTGTTTAAAGTTACAATGAAATATAATAAATAAAATGTTCTTCACAGAACCAAAAGTTAAACTGAAAAGTCATGGGATGGGAATACCTGTCTTGGTAAGGAATTTGAAAAAAGGATTTGCAATAATAGCTTTTTGCAAATGGAAAGCAGGTGAATATTGTGGTATGGTGGCAAACATTCCACAACATTTCCAAATCATGAAACTAACAATTCTTTTTTATTCTTCTTTTGATTAGAATGGTATGAAGTATTTAATCTGCTCTGTGGCCTGAAGGTTAATTTGGGACCTAATTAAGAAGGTTCATTTATCTGTCATTTAGGAAAGTGATTCTCCAATTGTACTGTATAAGGTTCAACAGGTAAGCCATCCAGCCTCTTCCATATTAACCACCAGTAACATAGCCACATCTTGTTGGCTGCCATTGCCTTAGCAAAAAGAGATTCGTGACTGGAGACTTGTTTACTGAAGCACCGAAGTAAAAGTATAAGCAGTAGAGCAGTAGAGTAGTAAAACTCAGAAAAAATGACAAAAGTGATCAGGTTTCAGTTGCTGTTATTATGAGTCCATGCGTGCCATCCTAAGGGGCACCCTTGATCTCAGACAAACAGGAAATACGTTTATGGGATTTTAGAGAGATGGAGTCCCAAATAGTTCTTAATAGAGATTTCTAATGAAGAAATTTTTGAGCAGCAAGCTTCTGCGTAGTAAATTGTTATTATTGTACACCATGAGGTACACAGAAGCACTCAAATGATAAATGGATTAACATTTTGTGTCAATATTTAGTTTCAAGACGACTCCAAAAACAGAAGTGAGGAGAAAGTATAAAACACAATTATAATCACTCTAATTACATCAAGAAGAGTGAACCACAATGGTTTAAAAAAAAAAAAAAAGGTAGAGAGGAAGTATTTTTAACTGTGTGGTCTCTGCATCGTTAATTGTTGATCTCTGACTGGGAACACTGGTTTAGAAAAGTCAGATACGGGCTGAAACATTGCTACTACACGGTAATAGAGAGTTTTCTATCTCTTTTTGCTGCCATCTAGTGGTCGTCCGAATTTTTGCAGCCCAAATCTAGGAAATCCAGGCTGCTGAACTAAACAGGGTTCTCCCGATTCTCCGAACAACGCGCGGCCCGAGCCTTCTGGGACCTGTAGTCCCAAGTACCTTTTGCGAAGGTTGCACTGTGGGAAAGATGGTTCTTACCTTAAGCCAGATGGCTGGTGCAAAGATAGTGGGGGTGAGGCTGAGAGATGGGCTGCCAATGCAGACGCTTTGGAGGCGAAGCTTTTTTCTCTGACGATCCCCAGGCGGGGATGTTATGCTTCTGTCCTAGGACTTGGCAGCAAAGAGAAGAAAAGACGACCATCGGTTTCCTTCAGGAAAGTGCTTTCGATCGCACTGACCTGTTGTTTGCTAACTCAAGGATGACGAGAAAGAAGAGCCTGACTGGAAGCCCCGCCTTTCATCCGCAAAAGTCCCCTTCCTGCCCTCGCCCCGTTGTTTAGACGAGAGACGTGAGCTGATTCAGATGTTCCGTGCGAGAGACGTGCCTCGAATCCGGAAAAACTGGGCTTTGGTTAAACGGGGAAATTCTGGGAGAATTGCTTTCAAAACAAGAAAGCGGGGCAAGCACTTAAAAAACGTTTTTTTTAGTGCCCTCGTCTACACATCTTCACCCGGGCAAAAGACCTGTCGAAATCCTTGGGAGGTGCTTTTGATTCAGAGTGCCTGGGAGCCGGTAGAACCGTTTCCGATGGGGGAAATTACACCAGCGATGTGGTTTAGTAGTCAACTTTTTAAATCCGCGGGTGAATAAATTGTTCTTGCCCCTTTCCCAAAGAAGTTGTCCCTGCCACATCCTAATGTTTGGCTGTCCTTATTGATGGTGTGCAGAACACATCCAGGCAAAGAATGGAAGGATTCTTCAGTTTTTCCCTCAGCCCACCCCAAATTACTGAGCAGCAGGAAATATTTACCAATAGTTGGCAAGAGCTTGGACTATAACAGGAGGAGAGCTTTGAGACCAGCAAAACCAAAGCCGTTCTAGTTTTGCATAAGTGCTTTAAGGGGTATGTTCAAAGCAGTGGTGGTATTCAGTTTTTTTTACTACAGGTTCTGTGGGCGTGGTGTGGCTTGGTGGGCTTGACTTGGTAGACATGGCGGGGGAAGGATACTGTAAAATCCCCATTCCCTCCCCACCCACTAACCTGCTTTCCACCTCCGTTCTCTTGTGCAGGGCAACAAAAGAAGAGCAAGCCGATCAGCTGGGACTTGGGAGGCAGTGAATAGATGGAGGTGGGGGCAACCAGAGGTGGTACTTACCGGTTCTCCAAACTACTCAAAATTTCCGCTACCGGTTCTCCAGAACCTGTCAGAACTGGCTGAATACCTCTGGTTCAAAGGGAAATTAGCATCTGATAGCCCAGCTCTCTTTAGACACAGTTATAGTGTTGTTTTAGAGCAGTTCAATGCCTGTTTGAAAACCATCCAAGTAACAGATGTTGAGAGAATGGTGAATGTGGCTTTTTGCTGCCCACACCCTGGCAACGGCAGGGTCTAAGTTCAGAGCCCTGGGCCTCTCATGGTAAATGAATAAACACACGGACACAATGTTTACTCGGGATGATAAGGCCCTGAACAAAAGGCAGGTACCTCCTTTTATTAGGTTGCTTGCAAGCGTCATAGCAGGAACAAGGAATTTTTCCTTATAAGGTAATCTACATAATTATGCTAATGCAAAAACTATACCATTGCTGGGGTCTTATCACCTCCGCTCTTAGCCCTGCCCAGTTACTTTCTTTTTCCACATAACTTTCGTTTCTCCAGCCAGCATTTTTCCACATAACTTTCGTTTCTCCTGCCAGCGCCCCTCCCAGCCAGCATTCCACAAGGTTGACCACTGCAACTTTTAGCGTCCATTTATTGTAACAGTTATATATTGCGACATCTCCTCTGTTTTTATTTTATTTGGAAGGTGATATATTAACACTGTCCTAATGGTGATTCTTGCTTGCCCCCTCCTCCTCCGAGTCTGAGGCTTGCAAGTGCATTAGGATGCATGTTTTGTCCTTACCAGCACTTTTGATGATTTCATCTTCGTCTGAATCCGAGGAGAATGTTAACAGAGCTCGCTTTTCTTGTGTATGAGATATGAGAGTATTTACCTGTTTCTGAGTCCGTGACAGGTTGGAATCCAACTGGCTTAATCTGCGTTTTAAGAAGGCCAAAACTTTGCCCAAAATACAAGGGCCAATGGTACAGAGCACAAGTAGGAGAATAAGAGGACCAGCAATGGCAGATACTAAGGTGGTTAACCATGGGGAGAAGTTGAACAGATCCTGATACCATGTGTGTTGAGCCTCTCGTTCTCTTTGCCTTTCTTTTAGTCTCTTATCTAACTCTTTCATAGAATCTAAAACCACTCCTGAACTATCTGCATAAAAACAACATTCTTCTTTCAGTGCTGCACATAACCCACCCTGCTTGAGGAACAACAAATCTAAACCTCTTCTAGTCTGTAAGACAACTTCAGATAAGGAGGTGAGGGAGTTCTGCAAAGCAACTATAGATTGTTCAATGCGGCGTAAGTCTGCATCTATAGTGGCGCTTAAGTGGCGAAAATGCTGATCAGAGGTAACAAGGCCAGCTATACCTGTGACCGCCCCAGAAGCCCAGCAAAACAGCTAGTGTCAAAGCAGTTACTACTTCTCTTTTTGCCCTAAGGTTATATTGTCTAGGTTCTAGTAGAGAAACAAAATTTTCTGAGTCATATACATTCATTTTTGGAATCAATTGTACTTGAATACAAAAGGAATTCTGCTTGATTAAGGTATCCCCGCTGGCACAGGCTGTCAGTCCCGTGGAACATGCCCACATTGAAGCATCTCCAGGAATGAAGTATTGACCCTGGAGGCGTTTGTTTATATTACCTCCTGTGGTGGTAAATACCTGGGTCCAAGCCCCTATGTTAAGGTCGAGTCGGTGAGCAGGTATGTACATATCACATAAGTATTTTCCCGTGGTGGCATTTAAACAAAATTGCGAGTAATTCTTAGGTATGTGGCCCAAACAGCAGCCTTGGCCTATTATGGAAGTGATAGTGATGGTGGTACTATCGTGCCATCTACATTGAGAGTCCGAGGTGTCATTTCTTATGGCCTGTGAAGATCCTACTGCTTCATAGAATGGTGGAGTGGGAGACAAACATAACCAACAATGCTTAGATAAGGAAGTGTTGGAAGCATTCAGGACACTGTAAGAAGATTGAAGAAGTGGCAGCAAGGGATTAACTGTTGTTGACAAAGGTTGTAGAAAGGAAGATTTAATTTCCTTGGCACTTGGTCCCACAGGGCCAGAGGAGGGTATGTGTACTTGTCGTTGTATGTAAAAAATGTTGCCAGAATCATACCCCGCGGTGTCATACACTCTTCCTCCCCACTTTACTCCAGTGTCCCATAATGTAGATGCTTTCCCTTTTGCAGTGAATCTCACAGTGACCATGTTGCAACGGGCACCTGGTGGTCCCCCTTCCCTAGCACAAGGTATTTGCTCCCTTGAACGAGAAAGGGTGATTAAGTCATTTTTATAGGGAGGGCTCCACCAGATGTGACCAGTGGACACACAGCTCCAGGATTTGCAAAAATAGTCCGATAGGCCACCACAAGTGTGTTGATGGTTTGGAGAAATGTCGTGACCTAGGCAGACATAAAGGTGGAATTTTTTCACTACTTCTGGGCTTGGTTGTGCAGTCCCCCGTCCTTTTTTTGTATATGCTGTTCTGCCCACGATCATTTCAGCAAAATCAAATTGTAAGTGTGGGAAACAAGTGTCAATTTTGGCATAGTTGTGTGTTGAATTCAATACCTGTCCATATGCGTCCTTGATGATCCATGTGATGTTGTATGGCCTATGGGCGTTAAAGCTGGTGGATGTTCCATCAGTCCAGCGAAGCGAACAGCCAAGCAGGAAGAAGAAGAGTGCTGTCATCCTTTTCGGATGATGGCTCTGCTGGTTGTGGATGGTGATATGGGCGGACACACCTTGCAGGAACCCAGAGAGTTCTGTCAGGAAGTTGGACTGCTGCGTAGCCTCGACCCCAGGTGAAGAGACCAGCAGGGCCCTTCCAAGTAGGGTCTGGCAGTTGGCGGTAGTATACCTGTGGTTTGGGAGAATCGGGGAAGGGGGGGAGGAAAAATGTCGCTCCGCTGCCGTCATAGCAGGGGTGCTGGAGAGATTGAGGAAGTTGAGAGTATAAAGACAGAGATTAAAAGTGTCTTGCATCGCCGGGAGGCTAAGGGTTCTTTTCCCTTTGATCAAATGTCGTTCTAACGCTGTTTTTAGCGTTAAGTTGGCTCTCTCTATCAGGGCTTGGCCTTGACTATTAGCTGTGCTAGTGTATGCAGGGTCATTATCTGTTTTTATTTCATTTGGGCGTCCCAACGATGCAAAGGTGCGAATGTAATGATTGATGACATGTTTGGAGGCTTCTCCCCTTTGCGGGGTTGCCATGATGAACCCTGAATAGGTGTCAATAGACACGTGAAGGTATTTCCAAGGGGCAAAAGGTGAGAATTGAGTGACATCCATTTGCCATGTCTCACAAGCCTCTACGCCCCTGGGATTAGTCCCTTGAGGAAGGGCTTTTGCTTGCAAACTGCAAGTGGGGCATTGTTGTATAATTGCAGTTGCTTCTTCCAAAGAAATACCAAATTGTTTAACCAGAGCCTTTTTGTTTTGATGAAAATAACTATGACTTTCCCCTGCTGTTAGAGGGGAAGGTTGAGGCATCTTAATACTGATGGAAAGTACTTTACAAGCAGTATCAGCTACCTGGTTCCCTTCTGAAAGGAAACCTGGGAGGTGTTGATGACTACGTATGTGGGCTACAAATAGAGGATGGGTCCTAGATTGAATGAGCATTTGCAGCTGAAGCAACAGTGTCATTAATGATGGTTGTATAGAAGGAGACAGATATGCCTCAAAAATGTGCAAGACCAATTGGGAGACATATAGACTATCCGTTATGATGTTAATTGGTTGCTCAGGAAATGTCTCCAAGGCTAAGTTAAAAGCAGCTAATTCAGCTTGCTGTGCCGATGATTGGGGCTTTGTCAGTTGCTTGTGCCAGTTAGCTTGATCATACCAGACACAAGCACCATGAGTTTTAGAGCCATCAGTAAAAACTGTGATGGCTTGAATTAGTGGAAAAGTAACTACTGGAGAGGAAAAGGTAATAGGTACCGTTTTAATTAGCTGTAGACGGGGGTCAGAAGGGAGATGGCAAGAGATGGGGCCAATCCAATTCTCCAGAGCGTCCTGCAATACATCTGACGTCTGAAAAAGGGGGTCCCATTGAGAGAGTTTGAAAGGAATGTGTATAGCTTGAAGATCATGACCGAGCAAAGCCTTGGCTCGGTGA